AAAAAAAAAACCCTGAGAAATATTTACCAACCAAAATATCAAGAATTTGTTTTCCTCAAAAAGGTGAAAAATTTGAAAACTTGGAAAACATTTTTCCGGGAAAATTTTGCCTATCAAACACTATAAAAGTTGAAAAATGGAAAAATATGGTGTATCAAACGGGGCCTGACACAATGTGTTTTTCCTTCGTTGCCACCCTATGATTTTCATATCATTAATTGCAATGTGAATGGACCATATATTAATTGCGCATGTAGCAACTAATAGAAATGTTCTTCATGTTACAATTTTACATGGAAGTGTCAAGAATTTGTTGCGGACTTAAATTCGAAAATGATCTTGACAAGTCGGCCAAAGTTGACCTCATGAAAAAACGAGAAAAACAAAATAATAATAATTGATGTTTTCCCACAATAAAAGCGTGGACCTTATCACAAGCTGGATATAATAATCATGAACATTTTTAGTCTTGGAAGTAAACGACACAATTATGTGACCGATTGATATGTCATTTTCAACTATAGCTAGCAATTGTTGTGGAGAAATTCAAGAAATATCTTAATTTAATCTTCACCAATGCCTTCCCCCTCCCACCACGCATCCCAATCCTCTCCAATTTCGTTTCTCTTTCACGAAATCAAAGGGGATTTCTTCCCTGTCCCGCAATAATTAAAAATTTGAACGTAGAAAGATGAAAGATAAAGGGAATTTGACGCAAACGATAATAACCTTTGCCTTCAATTCGCAAATAGTCTCTTTTGAATCTATAAATTACGTTGAATGTGCAGACGGAGATGGTCCCACATATACCGACATGACATCGATTACTTAATTGGATTGGACCTATTAAATTAAGAAACCTCGTCTTAGGCTTGAAATTCGCCTCATTAGCACCACTTTGCCCATTTTCATTTCATTATTTATATGTGATCCATTATACAATCAAATGTATGTTATTCGAGTCTTAATCAAATATCTTCTCTCGTCTCTTGCACTCTTTTATCTTTCGTTTGGCTATTAATTTAATCGTCGGAATGCAAATGATTGTCGATTTTTTTTCTCGATTGGCAGCATTTGCCTCCAAACAGAGCTTTCCAGTGTGCATGTGACATCTACGTAGAGGGGAGGAGGTCAAGATTCTGTTGACTTATATTTTTATTTTAGGTCAACGGTCTCTAATGTTTATTTCTTGGTAGAGATGTCTCAAACCATTGTGTTTTGGTGTGTAATTGATTATTTTTTTAAAACTGGTCGTATGCCCGTACAATGTATGGCCTTTGGTATTTTTAAGGTAATGTTAGTGTNTATTTTTATGGTAATGTTAGTATATCGAATGTTAATAGAAAGCTAAATTATTTTGAAAGTTCAGTAAATTTATATCTAACATAATAATTATTTAAATTTCATAATGATAATATTCTAGTAAGATTTAAATGAAAAGTTTTTGGTAGC